CTGAAAGGCCTATGAAGCGGTATATAAGTCCACTGCTATTGCTATTGCTATTATTATTACTATTATTATTAGTCGTACTATTATTATTTTGCATAAGCAAATTGACTCAGACAATACACTGTTCATTAAGCATTTATGCACATCAAGGAAAAAAAAACGTATAAATATATATTTTTTTTAAAGTGTGAGGATATCGAAGTGCAGAGTTCCAAAAACAAATTATTACTAAAATTTCGATAAAAGCAATTTAAAATGGAATTGGATCAAATACAATTTAAAATGAAATTTGGAATAAAACACGACTTAAAATGAAATTGGAATGAAATAAAATATTTCAAAATACAGATAAAATATGATAAAGTAATGTTTCGGTGTCACCCCTGCCATCTACCCCAATCGGTACCCACACATGCCGATCGCAATCGAAGCGTTTTGCTTAAGCACTGTGGGCTGTGTTGAATGTCATTTGCTTCAGAAGGTAAATTGTTTTGAGGTGGGGAGAGAGAGGTTTATGCAAAGGTTCAGGATTTCGCAGTAGTCCTGCTTTCACCTGAGGTAAGGTGCAGTATCTGAACAGCTCTTCGCTCAAGATGAAATCCTGCAATTTTGAAACGGTATTCTCGTCGTCTGCAGACTTGGAGAGGGTGACGTCTTTCATGATGACTATTCCAGGCACCTTCACTTCCTGTCGGCATATCTTGACAAACTCCTCCCTGGAAACAGGGTTAAAAGAAAGAAAAGGGGAAAGCATTTTAAATTGGCATCCAGAATCCTTCTAAACGCATCCACCTTTGCATCCATTCCGCCTTAAGACTTTACACTGGGAGTCAAAAAGCAATTCTCCCAGGATATTGGGAGGCTAAATCGTACAATGAACAGGAAAAAAGGAGCAAGGTACCCTATTTTTCAGAGTATAAGACGCACCTTTCCCCCCCCCTCAAAGAGGGTGAAAACTTGGGTGCGTCTGATACACTGAATGTAGCCCCACCCACCCACCACCCCCAATCCTTTGGCCTCTGCCTCCCAGCAATTTACCTCAAATGACATGGTTTTCAACTGAACACTTATAGAGCAGGAGTTTCCAAACTTGGCAACTTTAAAACTTGTGGGCTTCAACTCCCAGAATTCTTGGATTTGTGGACTTCAACTCCCAGAAGTCCTTAGATAGCATGGCCAACTGAGGAATTCTGGGAGTTGAAGTCCACAAATCCTCAGACCCCTGTCTTAGAGCAATTCAAGGTGTTGGGTTGAATGATTTTAGCCACATGGGTGAAGGATGCCTGTCTTTCTTTTACCTGAAGCGCTCAATGTCTTCATCCGCCACCAGGTTTTTGATGACCAGATATCCATTGTCCTCGTAGAAACGTCTTTGATCTATAGTTAGGGCGTCATTATCCAAGGTGTATCTGTGGGAACATGAAATATTAATTTTTAAATTGATGTGGAATTAAAACTTGCAACCTTGGGGATATTTTACAGAATTAGGCAATAAATACAAAACGTCGTGGCCCGCCAGCTGCCAGCAGATCTGGCAACGGTTCCACCACAAAACCGCGTTCGACTAAAGTGCGCTCGACGAAACCGCGTAGCTGACGTCATCACAGTGCGACGAAAAAAGCACGCTGTGAACGCTAAAGCTAAAATTAACCCCTAAACCTAAACCTAACCCCCCTAAACCTAATCCTAAACCTAACCCTTAACCTAACCCTAAACCTAACCCTAAACCTAACCCTTACCTTAACTTGAACCGGCTTGCTTTCAAAGCGCTATTTAAAGCGCCCTTTTTTCTCCGCAGTCGCTGTTGTCGCCCTGCTGATGATCCCTGAAATAAGCACTTGGCCTTATTTTTGGGGAGGTCTTATTATTTTTGAGGTGCAGGAGACGGCGAGTGTGGTCACCTCATGGCTGCTGTTGTGTGGCAATATTTTTGGGGAGGGCTTATTTTCAGGGGAGGGCTTATTTTAGCGCATGCACTCAAAAGCCCGATTGGGCTTATTATCCGGGGAAGTCTTATTTTGGGGGAAACAGGGTAATTACCTTAATACTTCGTGTATTACTCTACGTCTGCAAGAACACCACCACCAGAAAGACCAGTTTAAGATAAATAATTAACTTCACAAACCAAAATTAAAAACGACTGAACCACATACATAAATATATTGCTAAATACTTGAAGAAAGCAAAATGAAGGAAACTTTTAAATCTGTGTTTTCATCCAAGAGTTAAACTCAGAGTAAAGTTCTACTTACTGGAACTGCATTGGGCATTCCACAGGAGCAACTGAAGTTGCTGAAGTTGGAACAGGTGTCTTGACATCAAATTAAGAAAAATTTAAAAGCTTGCTTTGATGGCAGATCTTGTGAGAAACGCGCTCAGAACACGTTTATAATCACAGGAGTTGCTCTCATAAAACAGAAATAAATTAAATGTAATATAGCGTCTTCCCATTTAAATTACCCTCCTCCCTCTGGAGCAGTGTTTCTCAACCTTGGCAAATTGAAGATGTCCGGACTTCAACTCCCAGCATTCGCTGGCTGGGGAATTCTGGGAGTTGAAGTCCGGACATCTTCAAGTTGCCAAGTTTGGGAAACACTGCTCTGGAGTTATCTTATAGTTTGAAATGTAAAAGCTTGATGGATAAAGAAGGAGCTGAAAAATGTTCCTCTTTTTTGGCTCAAGTGGGATATTTCCTTCTTACATAAAGAAATATATGCAGATGATGTAGTATTTATCTTAGAGGAACTATTGGAAAACGGACCCAAACTAGTTCAAAAAATAGAAGAATTTGGCAAAGTGGCTGGACTTAAAATAAACAAGACAATAACTAAAAACATTACCAATTAACAGAAAAGAGGGAAAAATGGATATGCAGATAACCAAGAAAGTCAAATACTTGGGAATCTGGCAAAATGCTCATTGATTAAAAAGGATAATTACAATACCATACTTCAGAAAATAAAAATGGATTTGGACAACTGGAAAAAATACTACAACTCTCATTAAATAGCCACAATTAAAAGGAATATATTACCCAAAATTATACTTCTATTTCAAACATTAGGAAAGAATTTTTTTGAAGATTTAAACAAATGAATAACAACATTTATTTGGCTAGGGGAAAAAAAACACAAATAAAATTAAAACTATTACAAGATAATGGAAACACCAAGTGGTTTTTCCAGACTGGGAATTATATTATCGAGCAGCAGCGCTGACATAGATAAAAGATTGGATAGATTTAAAAAACAAAAGGATTACGGCAATAGAGGATTACGTCTTGCAATTAGATTGGCATCCATCCATATGGGAAGGAAAAAACAAAACACATACTTATTTTCAAAGGCACCAAATTACAGACACTTTTACTAACATGTGGAAAATCAAGAACCACTACAATAAAATACCTGTCTGGTATATCAACTATGGGAGCACTAATATACCCAAACAATGCTGGACCTAGACAAAATAGCAGGATACAAAGATATATTAGTCGACCAAGGAAAATTAAAAACGAAGCAAGAATTGAAAAACCAGGGAATCGATATAGATTGGTGGCCTTACGTGTAAATCCAGCCAAGATGCAGAAAACTATGATTTCTATACAGAGCAACAAGAGCTGGATAAAATGTTACAGGGGACAGAGGAAAAAATGATTAAAAAAAACAACCAAACAACTATTTATTGAGATTTAAAATGGAAGATGAAATAGTAAAAGAAACCATGATAATCTGGGCAAAAAATTTCGGGCATACAATCATAGCATTAGAGGACTGGGAAAATTGGGGGGAGGGATTATAAATTGACAATGTCAGCAGTATACAAAGAAAATGTATACAAAATGCTTTATTGTTGGCCTTTACCCCCAGCAAGATTAGCAGAAATGTTTCCAAATAGATCAGCAGGATGTTGGAAAAGTAAACAGAAGAGTGAAATATCCACAAGAAAGAACAACTAAATATCCACAAGAAAGAACAACAAAGTTTAAAGAGCACTAAGAACCCCACAGTCCTCCTCCTCCTCCTCTCTGCAAACCCAACTCCCTTCCAGCACCGATGACATAGCCTAGTTGGGTCATGAAAGGTCTCCAGGAAAACAACCAAGCTCAAGAGCGCATCCCGGAGTCTTCCCCCCACCCGGCTGAGCTTTCCCCTCCAGGCTGCCCGCTCCAATTGGCGGTCTTTGCCGGGGCCCAAGCGGGCCCAAGTCCCGGGGAAGGGTGACCCCAGAGGTTGCAGGTGAGAAAGAGAAGGATACGAATCCTGCGCGGGGGCTCAAATGCCGGAGCAAGATGGCCAGCCGAAGGGGCGCGCTGCGTTGCTTCCCGAGGCTCTCCATCGCGCGCGTCCTTGGCGAACCAGCCCCGCCGCTTCGACTCTCGGAGGCCGCTGCTCGGGCTCGGCTACAGCCGGGAAGGGGCGGAGAAGGCGGGCGGGCCAGCCCAGCTGCTCGGGGGCGGCGTCGGCGGCCAGGGGCGTCTCCAGTGGCCGCCCTTCCCCGCGCGTAGAGGAGGCGAAGCGAAGGGCAGAAGAGAAGGGCTTTGCCAAGGGGCCCCGTTGCCCTGGGCGGAGAAGGCGCCGCGCAGGAAGGACTTTGGATCTTAGGGTTGAGGAGGGTTGGATCTGGGGATCCGGATTTACCGCTTGTTGCTTGGATGGCTCCTGAGCGCGTCTGCCCCGAAGACCAAGCCCTTCACACTTAGCCAATAAGGATTTCTCTCCTCTCCTCTCCATCTTCCCTTCCCTTCATTCCTTCTCTTCTCTTCCCTTCTCTATCCTACATTCCTTCTCTTCTCTTTTTCTTCCCTTCCCTATCCTATATTCCTTCTCTTCACTTCTCTTTTCTCTCCTCTCTATTCTTCTCTTCAATAGCTACATTCCTCCTCTTCTCTCCTCTATTTTCTTCTTTCCTATCCTACATTTCTTCTCTTCTCTTTTCTCTATTCTCTTCCCTATCCTTCATTCCTTCCTTTCCCTCTTTCTTCCCTCCCCTCTCCTACATTTCTTCTCTTTTCTCTATTCTCTTCCCTATCCTTCATTCCTTCCTTTCCCTCTTCTCTTCCCTTCCCTCTCCTACATTTCTTCTCTTTTCTCTATTCTCTTCCCTATCCTTCATTCCTTCCTTTCCCTCTTTCTTCCCTCCCCTCTCCTACATTTCTTCTCTTTTCTCTATTCTCTTCTCTATCCTTCATTCCTTCCTTTCCCTCTTTCTTCCCTCCCCTCTCCTACATTTCTTCTCTTTTCTCTATTCTCTTCCCTATCCTTCATTCCTTCCTTTCCCTCTTTCTTCCCTCCCCTCTCCTACATTTCTTCTCTTTTCTCTATTCTCTTCCCTATCCTTCATTC